ATAATGCAAAGTGGTTTACCAGTTGCACGAATAGAATTTCTTGATGAGAACATGGTTGATGCTTGTAATCGTTTTTCAAAATTGGATCTTGATGTATCACCAACATTATTTCTTGAATTTCATGGTAGTAAGAGTAATATTGATGCTCAAGGAAGAATAGCAGGTATGACACAAAGAATGTTACTTTTTATTAATCTGAGGCATGCACCAAACTAAATGCCTCTTAATATGTTTTTTAAATAAGATTCATGATTCAATCTACTTCAAGAATGTATCCCCACTTTTGCTAGACAACGTCAAGCAAAGAAACTTAGATAATAATACTGCGAGATTCGAATATGTTCTAATGTTTTGAACTAGTAAAAGAAGATACTGGTAGCAACCTCACAGCGCATGAAAAGCTCTATCTTGCAATTAAGATACTAAAATTTTGTGTTAATACTGAGAAATAACACATTGATCCATACTTCTTTATGTATTCTGTTATGTTGTTATATGAGTAGAAACTTAGAAAAAATGCAGAATCTTTCTGAAAGAAAACAACTTTAATAATGAAACATGTTAGAGCACGACAGTATTATTTATCCAATATCTCTATTCAACATTTATTAGCAAAACTTGTGATACGATGTTTTAGAAAGTTGAACCGTGAATGCTTTAAAGAAAAAAATATTAAGACATGGTGATGAACTTTGACGGCAACATTGAGAAACTATTCAGAAAGATATTCATACAGGTGCAGCCATTATTTCGTTATTTATGAGTCAAATTTTTTAATAAAGAGAATTTTTAAAGTTCTTACTCTATGCCGAGAATTTATCTTCGTGATGGTACATTTCGTTAGATATATGGATGTTATTTTATAGAGGAAACGTGCGAGTCATTTGAATGTCTTAAATTTAATTTTGCAACCGAGATTGAAAGGCGAAATGAATTATGGAAAGCAAGACACAATGCATGGTACGCCGCACATGCTCTCAGACCAGGTTCAAAAGTTAGTATAAGAATTTTATGAGATGATGAAAATCAAGCGCTTATAATATACAATGAATAAATGATTAATGCTTCTGTTATTTATAATTGATGATGTCTACATCAAAAGATTTATTTTCCAGCTCATTCAATAGACACTTAACACTAGATAAGCAAATGCCATGGTTTTATCTTTCATATATATATGAGCAAAATCATGCGTTAGCGATGTGACGGCATAGGAAAAAAAACTCTTGTAACCGAATGAGAAGTTCCAAAGGATACAGGTTCAAGAAAAACTCTTCTCGTAGTATGATCTTGCTGAAAATTTCACCATAGATGCAGTTCGTATGGTCCGAGAGATATTCGCTAATTACTTATGAATTAATCGTCATTGACAAGAGTCAACATTTTTATACTTGTGTATGCTTAAAAAACTTCAATGAGAAAGATAACTATTTTGAAGTATCAAAGTCAAACGAAAGATGGATAAGTTCCATTCTGTCCGAAAAAACTCATATGTCGAGAAAAATTCTTCAATTTTGTTTGCGGTCTCGAAAACACATATGCATGGTATTATGATAAACATATTGATAAATTGCTTAATGTATAAATACTGAAGCTTTAAATAATTAGTCTCCTTTTTGTCAGTAATTTAATTAAAAATCAATCAAATTATTCGACTACTTGCTTTTAAATTATATTCTGTATTTTTTATCAGGGTTATAGTACAGATGTTTGTGTACCAATTACTGCCTTGCCTAATATGATTTCGTTTGCAAAAAACGAATTACAACGATTACAATTATTAGGGTACGTGAAGACAAAATGATATATTTCCATACATTTTATCATTAAATTCTCATAGATTGATTTTAGGCCATGTTGGTGATGGAAACTTTCATGTAATATTAATTTTCGATTCTAAAAATTTAGAAGAAATTAAACGTGTTGATGAATTTTCTACTATTTTAGCCAAGTATAGATTTATTGAATTCATATTTGTTATTTCTGTGTATTTCTAGAGAATCATTACGCATGAATGGCACTATCACTGGTGAACATGGCATTGGTCTAGGAAAGAAACAATTACTTATCGATGAATTTGGAACCCAAGGAATCAATACTATGAAAAGCATCAAAAAAGCACTTGATCCATTAAATATTCTTAATCCTGGCAAGGTTATAGACATAGAAAAAGGTTTATAATCCGTAGTACAAAAAAAATCAATGCAATAGAAAGACTTTGTTGTTGGTTTTTCTATTAGTCTATAATTCTTTCAATGCACTAACGTTTAACACTGTTTTTTTGTAGTGAAATAGTGTTTTTTCTTATCACTTAATTTACTTATTCGAACTATATTTATTTATCCTCCTTCAGATCATTATAGACATGAATATTATCAGAAGTCGAAGCACATCAATTTCTAACATTCTACGCAAGGTAGGAATAATATCATCATTATTATAAACTGTTTAAAAGAATTTTATATTTCTTAGTGTACTCAACGCTATGCATCATCACAAGCTTTAGCTACTGATTTAAAAAGTATTGTAGGAAATGACAATGTAGGAACCAGTACAGCTATTCGAGAACAACATAGCCATGATGAATCATATCATGCGTATGTTATATCATTTGTACGATGTTTGTCATTTGATCATTGTATTTATAGAGGACATCAGCCGGATGTTGTTGTTTTTGCACAAAGTACAGAACATGTTTCAAATATTGTTAAATATTGTGCATCTAAACGAATCCCCATTATACCATTTGGTACTGGTACTGGATTAGAAGGTAAAACAGAATATAGCTCTAGATTACCTTCATTTTGTATTTCTTTCATATGTAGGTGGTGTTACTGCTTCTAAAGTTCGTAATGCCCATTTTTTTTCAATAGAAAGAAAATTCTATTGATTTATTAGGGTGGTGTATGTCTTGATTTGAGTCGAATGAATAAAGTATTGTCGGTAAATGCTGAAGATTTCGATTGCACAGTTCAAGCTGGTGTTACTCGAAATGCTTTAAATTCTTATATTCGTGATACTGGTCTTCAGTTTCCAATAGATCCTGGTGCAGATGCATCTCTTGGTGGTATGTGTGCAACAAGTGCATCAGGAACAATGGCTGTTCGATACGTAAATAGAAAACAAAATATTTCAAACATTAATTATTTTTCTATTATTATTATACTAGGGAACAATGCGTGAAAATGTGATGAACTTAGAAGTTGTTTTAGCTGATGGTAGTATTATCAAAACAGCAGGACTCAAAGGAAGAAGTCGAAAAACATCATCAGGTTATAATTTAACTAATTTATTTGTTGGTCAAGAAGGTACATTAGGTATTATTACTGAAGCAACACTCAAATTACATGCAACTCCTGAAGCAGTATTTATTCAATCTAGATATAAGCTAAAACCAATACATATGGTTTGTTTTTTTGTTTAATGATGATAGGTTCTTGCTGCTGTTGCTCCATTCAAAGATATGCAAAGTGCAGTAAATGCTACAGTAGCTATAATGCAAAGTGGTTTACCAGTTGCACGAATAGAATTTCTTGATGA